CTCGATCGGACTTGGGAAAAATTTTGCTCGAACTGCGACAGGGGACATTAGGTCTAGAAGAGTGTCATAATCCGTCGTTCCCAATCAGAATTTTCAAAAAGAAAAATTGGAAACTTTCAGCCGAAATCGAAATTTGTGTAAATGAAAAATCAAAACAACGCAGATGCAATTGCACGAAATAACATTGAGAGATATAAATGAGCCCTTTTGATTCATCAAATCACACGCCTTCTTCGGATTATCCACATTACTGTTTACTAAACCGAAGACTAAAATTTCACAAATCATTGTCGCGCCTTGTTGTTTTAAATGTTTAACTGCCTCTTTTTCATGCCAAGCTTTATTTTCGGCGATTTATTGATAGTGCTGCTACACGAATAGATGATAATTAAATATAAGCCAAATCATAACCTGGCTCAAGCTCGATGCAGTCAGTAACAATGGCACACCATCCCGTTTCAAGCAAAACTTTCTCTTGCGAATGGGTTAAAATCTTGCTCAGACGGAGTTTTGGTCCAAACCGAATGTTGTACGGATGTTACTGCATTTGGTGGTGCGGGATATAACGCAAAATTTCTCACTATACTGTTTTTCGAACTGACTACTTTAGATTACACTGCTTTCAAGTGTAATCGAATTGTTGCTATGGGTATTATGTATGATCGAATAAATATTTTTCATAACAATACAAATGATCAGTGCACAGAGGCTGTCTGATGTGAAATACGCCCGATTCACCAGTCACTCTTTGGCTTTGCATTATGCTCATCTATTGGCTAAAATTTAGACGGATGTAACGGGTGTATTTCACATGTTTTTATCTTATTCGAATTCTTTAGCAGACTGCAAAAATAAAATTTCACGTCCGATAATGGACTCATGCTTATGCAGACTAATTTTGCAGAAAGAAAGATAAAATACCACGGTAATTATAGAGATGAACAACGGGAATGAATACGATCACAACGACGAATCACTTACCGATATTGGATAGTATAAAACGAGTAACATCACAGTAACATGAACACAAACAGTTAAAATTAAACTACATTTCAGCACTGTAAAGAATGAGACTGAACTACGCAAAACAATCAACTAAAAGTGTGACTGAACGTGTACGTATCAACATGAGAATATGACTAATAATGAATAAATAATAGCAACTCTCTTAAGAAGATGAAGGAAATTTGAAAAATGGAAATGTATTGTTATTGCTGAAGAGAATGACGTGGTACTAGTAACAACAGCAACAATACTAAAAATCATCGAACACATCCGACTGCAAACTTCTCACCACGACATCAACCTTATCATTCTCATCACATTCTTTCACCATATCAATTGTATTCAATAACCTCTTTATACCGATCATGTATCTGCAAAAATATAATCAATCGAATCTTATATCAATGTCAAGCGAATAGCCGCAATAAATTAATGGTGGAAGTACAAACCCTTTATTATTTCTGGTCAGTTCAGCTCTAATTTCTTCGCAATGCGCCGATGAGAGTGCATTCGTCTCATCGATCACAGCCATGATATGATCCACAGTCGACAGAGATGGCACGTCGATGACTGTGCCGAACGCAGACAAAAGACCCAGCTCTCTCATGAACGAACGATTACTTGCAGTGGCTAGCACCAGCAAGCGACGATTCTGAATATGTATTCGTGATTGATAATTCACATCTATGATTATTTTTAAGCTCTAATCTTCAACTTACTGGTGGTGGTTGCTTCTTTACCAACACAAACAGTGCCTGCAGAACGGAATTCGAATACCGCGGCCCGATTGGTGAATAATCTTCAAAATATCATTTGTTACAGAAATAACAAATAAATAAGCAATAAGCAACCTCACCCAATATTCTCTCGATATTGTCCACCATCAACACACTCAACGGTGATCGATAAGCGTCATCAAAAATCTTCCTCAACGCCATGCATTTCGCATTCTCCGTATATCCCACCATATCGTCCGCACTAATCACTTTAATGAACGGAAATCCCGAGTTCTTGGCGATCATCGCCGCCAAACACGACTTGCCAGTGTTNTAAATACACTTATAAACTGTGAATCGGTTCAGACCACAGCACTGTTGAAATGATCACGTAAACGTACCGGCCAATAGCACAGATACGAAGCCCCTTGTGTCCGGACTCTTCGTCTGTTTCACATGCAATGCACCTTGTTCCAGGATTTGCGATACCTGCGAGCTCCACGTTATAAAACCACCAACTAAATACTTTTCCAGCTCTTCATCTGAGTGACCGAATGCCTTAAATTTCAATTCGAATATTATAACCAACAATAACAATAATGAACAAAAATAAAAAACAAAAATAAAAACCTTACCGGCTTCACATCGTGTTCTAAAGCGTAATTAAAATCATCAACGTTGATCATCAACTTCTCAACTGCATCTGCATCTAACTGTACTTTCCCACCAGCCTTTAAAGTAACAAGATCAGTACATAATAACAACAATAATAAATAAATTCCTTTCTACCTTCACCAGTCGATTCATGGCACTTGACTGCGCCGCTCTCACCAAACCCTCGATTTCGGCCCCACTAAAGTTCTTAGTTCTTTTAGCCAATTCGTCCAGATCGACGTTCGGATCGAGTTTATCATATTCTCTAAACGGATTGATTATGCCACGAATATGCTTATTAAACAATGAATATTAAACATACACACACATACCTCATCCTAGCAGTGTGTATCTTCAGGATCTGCAGTCTGCCAGTTTCATCGGGCAATGAGATCTCCATCTGCACCTCCATCCTACCGGGTCTCAACAACGCCTCATCGATCATGTCTTTACGATTCGTCATGCCAATCACCAGGATGTTGTTCAACTGCTCCACTCCATCCATTTTCGACAGCAGTTGATTCACCACAGTGTCGTGCACGGCCGATGATCCTGCCTTTAATGTACAGCAATCAACATCACACAACCACACTTATCACAACAGCAACTACTCACCACCGAACCACGTTGTTTGCAGATCGCATCAATTTCATCGAAGATGATAATGTGCAATCCAGAATTCGCCCCACAACGTCTCCACTCCTCTTCTGCATCCGCGAACAACTTTCGTATATTCGATTCCGATTCACCAACATACCTCAAATTTTGATGATTATACAACACCAAACAATAACAACTATATATAAACCAACTTGTCCAAAATCTGCGGTCCATTCACGATTTTCGGTTCACGTGCATTCAACATTTTACCAATCTGACGAGCCATCAATGTCTTTCCTGTACCTGGGGGTCCATACAAGAGAATACCTCGAACGTGCTTCATTCCTTAAATGTCGATCATAATAACGATAATGACAATGATAATGACAAATAAATGAAAATTACCAAGTTGCTCGATGAATTCCGGTGGAAANACACGCGAAGCGAAAGCACGTCGGAATATGCCCGAAAATTCGTTATCCAACCCTCCAATGCCCATCTTTTGAAAGTCCCAATCAGGATTGATGATTGAACGATACGCTGATTTACTGCAATACGTTTATGATCACAATAACATCAATCACCAACAATAGCAACGCACCCTTTACTCTTTCCAATCAAATTTAACATCGATCCGTCGGCTTTATCGAATATTATCGCTGAATTCGGCAGTAACTGTCCTGCTTCAATCTGAAAACAACAACTCTCTAATAAGCGAATGCAGTCCTTTCGATCACTTAGTAAGTCGTTGCCTCAATTAAATATCTGAACTCACTTCATAAGATTTACTACTCCTACGATTTGCCGCATTCGGATTGGAAGGTGCTGCAGCTGCAGTCAGATCTAATCCTGAAATTCATTTCGGATTTAAAAAATTTCTGAATGGATTCATCATAACGGAATTAAGCGAGTATAACGCAAACGCGAAGTGAATCAAATACTGAATCACGTTAACGAACCTTGCATAGAAGTGACACTCAGTGCAAGTGTATGCAACTTCTTTTTATCATCTTCAAACTTGAACACCAACAATTCCCCTCGAGTGAATGCCTGTCCACTGAATTGCATCGAAAATTCACGAGCCATATGATCTGCGTTCAACGGTTCTGCCGATTGCCTAAACTCACTTCATTATACTCACTACTCCTGACTGCAGCTTCTAATGNCATTCGACCACTTGATCGATCGACAACGTTGCCCATTTACGTTGTGGTACCGCAAAGGCGATCTCATCCTGTTGCAACGATGGATGATTGCGGATCGAGAATATGTAATGATGTGCCGGACCAGTCTTCACCAACAAGTGCCTGAAGCGTTACACTTTCAACTCATTCAACTCGTCATCTCAATTATTTCATGTGAACATATCGCAACATTAATGTTGGTAAATAATCATAAAAATGATTAATAGTAAGCAATAATAAATAACAATAAATAAACTAACTTGGTTCCAGTCGCATTGAAAGTATTCGCATTAACCACAGCACAATTCGTTATTGCCAGATCATCTGTTGGACACTTTCGAACTTTTAATTTCATTTTTGCGGGTGATAATATGACTGGCTGATGTCCCTTTTTATCGCTATCACCATCAGTATTCTCACCAACAGCCTTACTACAATTTAATTACTTAAATTAGCCTCAATAACGTTCACAATACCGTTCCGATATGAACAATTAATGCGTAACGAATGTAATTTCACAGCACTTCAACCAATTTTTATTATCCACCGAACAATTAAACACATCAAATCAATCTAGAACCGTAGACATCAGACAGCCAAAAGATTAAGCAGTGTCCACGTACTCAAACTGATGCACAATGCTCGATGCAAAACCTGCATCGCTTTCCAATGCCGGATAAACGGAACACAAAATAACGTTACGAAGACAGCTGCTGATACGACATAACGACGGATTTGTTCATTGCTTTCTAAAAATGAAAGCTGGCGTGGCGTTGTCTCGTAAAGCCTAAGCCCATTTATTGCACAAATATTACTTATTATAGATGAAATGGGAATGATTGATGTGCGTAATCCAAGATGATTCCTATTACCAAATTATAGAAAATCCTGTCTGTGCTTTAGGGAATCTTGAAATGCCAAGACGGCGATTTAAAGAACGCGATCTCAGATTCGCATAAAATCACTACTAACACTTAGGCTTGGCGTCAGCAGGTTTTTGGCTGATCTCTAAATGATAATCCAAGTTTTTCCTCTTGAATCTATCCGGTTACACCTGTCGCTACTTTGTCTTCCGTACAGAAATATTATAGAGCCGTTAGAGATAATACAATCAACGTCACACTCATCTTACAAGATACAACCATCGCGTTTTTCTTCTCTAAAATATTATGCGATGCACCTCCCGTTTTGCTACCAGACGGCACAATTTTCAGTGAGTTGTTAGGATCTGCATCTATCCTTTACGAGAAGGATCTGCCCAGATGGGGCAGTTTGTACCGACGGAAGAGGGAGGGATTCCGTTTCTTTCAGAGGGCAAATCCATCCGATCCAATAAAGTATATCGTTAACGAACACAAAATAATCTGCGCTTCCAGATGCCGATACCCGCTCATAGAAACGACCCTGCGAAAGGCGATACGCAAACGATGAAAATAATGTTGACATCGTCGACACGACACAACCGCTTAACAATATTCATTCACACAAACATAAAATCATCAATACTAACTGAATTCATAAGCAAAATTTCCAGCTGCCGTCAAACAACAACGCATATTCAAACAATCCATCCGTCTCCATATAAACAACCCATCCATCGATCACTTTATTGAATAATCTGAATTGTTACTCAAAGCCCTTCAACTCATCCACATCCCATTTAAACCAATCCACAAACCTGCAAATAACCCAACCAACCCACTACTACCATCCAATAACTCTCACACTGACGACATTCCGTCTATTGCCTTAACTTCATGACGCACTCTAATAACCTCCCTNATCTGCATACAACAACAATTGCCACAAGCATAATCGATAACTTTTTAAAGCCACTGGGCATAGCCGAGGTCCAAATATGAAGCGGTATTAAGGAATGAGTAGTACTGGAATCCTGATATGGCTCTAAACGATCATACACATAGAACACGTCTAAACATTATTAGTGATAGAAGTGAGAATTTATGCATCTCGTTCAACATCTTCATTCATCATTCGACCGCAAAGGCCTAGAGCCCAAGGCTGTGCGTCACAGACAAAGTGGTCACACATGACGTATGACAATCAAATGAGAAATAGACCATTAGATCAATTCACATAAAAAGATGAAAAATTCAGAACAGAGCGAATTTTTCACTTTTTACCAATAAAAATTCTCAGACTTAAAATCGATATTTTCAGATTTGGAAATGAAATTTTTCTTCTGATAGTGAATAAATTTTCTGCTGAAAATCTCACAGCAAATGGTTTTCGTTGGTAATAATTGTCAGCACAAAGCGCAATAAATCAATCAACTTACAGCTTACAACAAGAGAAAGAGCAGCGCATGGATGGTTGTATTTGTTGACAATCGAATTAAAATTTCGAACATTTTCCACTTCAAAAAATTCCAAATGCAATACTGAAATGCAATAAAACCAAACGACTGAATGACATTGACGAAAATGGCAATGAATAGACAAGAGAATAACGTCCAAAAAGAATTGGATCACGAGAACACGACATCAAAACGAACGAAACTCGGAAAATATTCACTGAAAATGAAAAAAAACACATCGGGATATTGATTTCTCAGAGAGAATATTCAGAGCCGTAATTGTTTCGCCGCACTGAAAGACTTTGTTCTTCAGATGGAAACATTTTTTAAAGTTAGAAAAATGAAACATTCTATGAGTTCCTTCGATAATCAATTACATAGTCCGCTGAATACCACGAAAACAAAACTATCAAACGTTCGAAAATCACGTTGTCGAATTCATCTGAATAAAAGTAAAACTACTTTATTCAGTTACAGTTGATTTTTCAGAGAGAATATTCAGAGATCGCAACGCGGTGTTTTGCTGAACGTACGAAGAATCACTTTCCCGAAATGAGATTATCTCAATTGGTGATTCTCATGCTCGCTGGCTAAATTACCTCCTCCGACAGTCCGCTAGAGCATACATACCAACCTCCCCTACCCACTACAATAATTTACCTTGTCCGCGCATAGTCATAAACAAATTGAAGATCGCTCAGAAAAATCCTCGTTGGCATGAAAGAAACTAATCTTCTGGAATGTAGCAAATCTCGCTATAACTTTATTCATCAACTGCAGACAGAAAATGAATCTCGTTGTTAGCACTTAATTAATACCGAAAAGCAATCAAAAAATGTTCGTCAGCGATTAAAATCATGATAAAATTCATTTATATCCTCGATTATCCCCCTCCCTATATCCCCAAATTATCGCCAGGTGGTATTTACCCCCTCCCCCCTGCCTATAAAAAACACTGATTAAGATGCTACGTATCAATCAATGTCCAACCGGCCGCTATCAGTTTCTGGATTACGCCTCGAACAAACACACTACTGCCCAATCATTAACAGTCATCATAGTAATAATAACAAAAACACCACAATGAAAATAAACGCATCACTTTACGGCAACAATACATTTTATATTGAATCTATGCTATGATTTAATAAAAGTAGTAGCATTAATAATGCCATATAAAAGAATAAATTAAATGTAATCAATATTCGGTTGAATCAAACCATCAGATCACCGTCGTAACACATTGAGTCATTGCGTTGAAGTGTATTGAATATTAATAAAAATTTGTTTATTTATTTATTTACTTGAATTTTAAGCACAAAATATCATTTATTAGTAATTCGTTTAATATTCTATAAACAAACGAATTAGTGAATAAAACGATTCAATGAGAGCAGTAATAATAATAATAATAA